TTTAGCTTCAAAATTTGAAAATCATCTTGTAACGTGGTCCAACTGCTAAATTATGAGTTTCTTCCTTTCGCATGGTATCAGTTATGAAACAATTTATTGAGCCGAAAGAAGCGGAAATCTAGCAAATATTGTCCCATTTTCATGATAGTGGTCATTTTTTGTACCCTTAATGTGGCCATTTATATTTACAGAATATGTATAGTTTAAAAGAAAAGATGAATCCTACAGAATACAGGTCTTTTACAAATGGAGGGCGCTTTACAATTAAACTTTCTGGCAAATTTTGGTGTGGCACATGGTCAGACATGATTATTGAGAAATCAATTATGCGAACGATGAAAACCGTAGGTGGACTAACTTGTGGGCGAGGAGTCCAGAAGAGCGTACTTTTTAGGTGGACTATGGGAATGTCATTCTTGCACAATATTTGTGACGCGATTTAACATTTTTGCAATATAGAGTTTATCACTTCGGAACAGCATGTTGAATTGAGAAGTTCCCGGATTAATCGTGAAAACAATTATGTAAAAAAATTAATTAATGGATTGGTTTTCCCAACATTCGCCTTTCCTGTAATGAAAGAAGTTATGTCAATAAGTACTGAAGCCATTTTTGCTGTAAAAGTAACTAGTAACAAGATATCTTGAAAAACTTCTTTCTTCATAATATATTACAATATGGCGGCGACGGCGGCGGAAAAATTACGAGGTGGCAAAATAAAAAATCGAAAATAGCAATTAAGAATACATCAAATCGCCAAATATCAAAACTTCCGCAAATATTTCAAGTAAAAGGTAATATTATGCAGCACGTAATTACTGGAGTAATATTGATAGCCTTAATTCAATTTTTACCCTTTTATGTGTTCCTTGTGTTAAAGCGAGGCTAAAACTTTCTGATATATTGGCAATTTTATCTGTTTTCTTACTTATAAGGTTTTTAAAAATAAACTTTCAATGAAGACCCTAAAATAACTATACATTCAAATGAAGTCTATTATCATTGTATGGCAAAATTAAATCTTGTGTTAGTTACATCAGGATTCTGGAAGCACAATGTCTTTTAAACAGGAAACTATAAACAAATAATATTTGAAATTCTTGATTTTTTTTTTTATTTTATACTGGTTACAACTCTAACGATATTACGTATATAATGTTTTCAATTTTTTTAAAAAATAATTTTTATTAACATCTGCCATATACTTTTTGTTTCTTTGACATCCAGATATACCTCTGTAACTTCTTTCATGTATTATTTTTTTTCAAACGAATTTCTCTCAGTTATTTATGATATCACATTGATTTTTCATTAAGAAAACAATGGAAAGCAGTTCATGAATCTTAAGACAAAATGTATAGGACCTATCAACTCTTTCACAATTTATGTGTTGTTTGAATCTTCTGTACGACCTTTAACTTTAAAAACAATATTTTAAAATTCAAGTCACGTTGTTCATTCTACTTATGATAAGTATTGGGTGTTTTGTTATCTTTGAAAATGGTTTCGGGAAGATTGAATAATAAAAATGTTTTTGTATGAATAAATTAAAACTAAAAACAAAGTTGTATTATATATTAAAGCATCAATGGAGTATGTTTAATAAATGATTGACAGTTGGTAATTTTTGTACAAGCTCTTAAACTGTATTGTTTTTATTCAAACGAAAGCATACTTTGAGCGTTCAAATGTCACTTCTTGCTAATTCTTATAAAAATTGTTATATCATGTCCTTTCCATCGAGGTACTTTTTCTACGACCACGCTTTTAAGAGATTACAAAATATATGTGTTTATGTATGTATTTATTTTATTTATTTGGATAGTGTGATATTATTTTAACATAACGTAGATACATCATTAGTAAATTTAAAATGTTCTCAGTCACTCTGTATCTTTATAAACTTGTAATACTTACCAACTAAGAACCTTTTTACTCACCTAACTGGCCTTTTTTATAATGTAAAGACATGCTGCATTAGAGACTATCTGCGAAGGGCTAATTTACGTAAAATAAAACTATAGTGGAAATATGAGCTAAGAGCTTTCAGCCACGGTGCATTATTATGTTTGACTACTTGCATTGCAGACCACTACAACAAAATGAAAAATGTAATAACCCATCATCATTTTTGTAGTAACTCTAGATAACTTTTAATAGATCTGAATCGATTTTCAACCCGTGTACTAAAAGCAAATATCTAAAATTTGAAATTGCTTAATTCTTTGGTTCAATACTAGCCAAAGAGACAGGCTTATAAAATCAAAGGATGGATTATTATATGCCAAATTTTTAAAAATATGTTTTTAATTTTAACACCAGACCAATATAGGTGTGGGATGAAACAAAAAGCTGCAAAGTTGCCAGGGAGCTCTTAAGTTTACAATACCACAGCTAACAAATAATTGACTATGACTAGACAGAACCATCACCTAATCACAGGTATTCTAAATAGTCACTGCCAAGTACGCAAGAATCTCCATAGCATGAGGCTGTCAGCATCTGCACTCTGCAGGGGATGCGAACAAGAATATGAGACCATCGAACATACTCTTTCCGACGCTCTCATTTATTGGAAGATTTGTGTTAGGCGAGTTTTGGCCTATATCGGGTGTTCAAATTAAAGTGTTACAGCTAAATACCGCCTTTTATATAAAAAAAAAAAAAACGTTTCATACGAAAGTTTTATAGTTTTGTGGGGAAAAAATGTTTGCCAAAAATCGTTTTTTATAGCTAACCATAATAGGGCGAACTTTTTTTTTGCCCAGCAAAATTTTTTACTAGCTGTTACTCAAAAAGTAAAAGTCCAATAAAAAAAATATTTTCATCAAAAGTTTCTTGTTTTTTATGTACTTTAAGAATATGTAAATGAAAAATAGGATTCCCATTTAAAAAAAAACAAAGTTCACCTCGATATGTCCATATTATGGTCAGCTATAAAAAAATGAATTAAGCCAAAATGTTTCCACCAAAAAACTATAAAAGTTTTGTCTGAAACTTTTTTCTAAAATGCATATTTTCGGAGGTATTTAACTGTAACACTTTTATTTGAACACTCGGTATAAGAGAATCGCCTCTCGGTGACGTTGTCAACTACATCATAGTTATTATAGGCTGGCTAACGAGCTAAGAGGAGCATATCCATTCAAGAAGAGGTACAGTATGCCTAGTGAGGCCTAGGTGCCGTGAGGCAACTCACCCTCCACATAATACGGATAGTGTGGCCTGATTTTACGTACTCTTCATATTAACAACTTCGGATAGAACAATTTTACGGTCATTGCAGCGAAATTTTAGAAGATAAAAATTTAAATAATATTTACAATTTGTAAATAGATTATATAAATCCTTATGTAACGGAGATAAGTGCATCCTAATTACTAAATAAAGGAAAGATTTAGAACTGGTTGATTAAAAAATCTGAGTCTCCTGGACTTTAGGTTTTTGATTCCTTGTTTTTTTCTTAGGGTGTGTACGTACCGAAGATGCCTCGATGATCAATGACCGATAGACGATGGTTAGGTGGATGTCAATCGATGTAATACAAATTTATGGTGAGTGGGTGCGCTAATCTTTGATATGTATACTCTCATTTAAATTAGTACATTAAAGACCAGTCTTTTTGCCTCTGAGTAAATTTAAAAGTAACTACTTGCTGATTAAACTGTAAACTATTGTTTGTGAATATGTCAAGTAAATCTACGTGTAACTTTAGTCAAAGGTGAAAAGATCGGCCCTTATTATTACATCGCCTATCGGTCATCAAGGCATATTCGGCATGTACATATTCTTAGGTAGAGAGGTACTCACGTGTCTATATGGATCACTTTCTTTTGTATGTCATAGGGCTGCAGTTTGAATCGCTGTTTGCAAGTAACATCTACTATGTTTGTTATTGCTTTGAACAAGTTCAGCTAATCCTTAATCCATCTAGAGTACAACGTCTCTTTTAGAGGGTCAGGAGCTTTTGTGTTTCCTCATACGGGGTCCATTATTTTTAGAACGGTTCACTACCGAGAGGTTTTATTACGAAACCTGGCTTGACGACAATAATAATAGAACGAACGAAAAATTTTGTTTATGACATCTGGTGACCTGAAACAGTAACATTTCTGCTGATACAGCTACTCTTTTTGAACCTCAATGTTAAAACTTGCTTCTTAAAAATTTATTTTTAATTAAAAATTATCAATGCAAAATTATAATACGTTTTATTAACTGAATCTATTAACATTCTCCTAGAAATAAACATTGTTGTAGAATTTATAACTTCGGATTGCTGATGGTGACATCCGTCCATGCGTCTCTTCTCCTTAGGACAAATGTTAATATTTGGTTTCTTTTTAAGAACAAGAAAATGCTTTCTAAGGACCATTTGGAGTAATTTTTATGTAACTGGATTTCTTTTATATTTTCTTCTGTATTATTCTATAGTGGTATTTCCTGTAGTTTAAGGTGAGCCTTTTCTCTATTTTTAACTGCTTTACGTTTATCATTGCAAATGTTGTTTACAAAATTTCATCTAAAATAAGTGGGTGTTTGAATATAGTGCCCGTCTTATTTGTATACACAAACATGTATGTTCTATATAATAAAATAACATCGTTTTCTGCACTTTCTGTGGTTTTGAAAAAATTCCGATATAATAATTGAAGACCTCGGTGCAAGAACCGGGCAACTCCACATTTTTAAAATGTTGGGAAATCGAAAAAACCTAATATTTTCGTGAAATTTCAAAATAATATGCTTTATCGTATAAATTCTTCTAGCGTAACATTAGATAAGCTGCCTTTACCTAGATACTGCTTTTCATTCACATTGCAGAACCAAAAAAAGAGAGTTCGAAAAAATGGAGTTGCCTGTTTCTTGCCCTGAAAAGCCTAAATTTTTAAAATAGATTTAAAATACGTGTAATGATTTTGTATTTTTTTATTAAAAATGACATATGTAAATGAAAATATTCCAAACAAATAATATTTTAAACATAAGAAGTCACTAACATTTCCTTCGTCTCGATTTTTGTTAACTTCCCCAGAATTATTTAGATCTTCTACCTCAACAGTAGTTATGTTTTGAAACATGCGATTATAAAAACTTTGATCATTTAAAGGTACATACTTTTGTACTAAGCTTTTTAGATCATTAATTTTTTTAGGGTTTATATCCAAAAGGTTGAAGTATGCTTTATTAGTCGGCATTAAAAATGGTATATCTCCTTTTTCATTAATAGAAAATTTTGTAAAATTTTGAAAACCTGAACTTACAGAGCATTTAATAAATGTATCATTCTTGGTGTACTTCATTAATCTATAAGTTGATATTGCAAATTTTTCCTTTTTTGGTCCTTTAGGGACTGATTTAAAAAGTTGTTTTAAATGGTCTGAAAAGTTTAGGATCATGTCTTGTTCTACAGGAACTACCTTAAATTTTTTTGAACTTTCTTCAACTAACTTTATCCATTCTGACGGTAGGTATATTCTTTCCTTCTTCCTTTTGTTCTTTTCTATAAGTCCAAATGACCTATCGCCCGGTAGGAAACTGTGTCCTGGTTCCGGATATTGGTGAAGTATTTGACTTATTCTTCCATTTTTGTTTACCAAAGTGAATAAATATTTCATTAAAGTTTGGTTTTTGTTTTGTGCAAATGCATTGTCTGAAAAAATATACAGCTTCTTTACCGATACAGGCAAATATGTGTAAATATAATGATGACGGAAGGAAATGACTTCATTACTTCCTTTCTTAGCGGTCTGCTCATCATACATGTAAAAGGTTGAGGTACCCATTTTTCCTGAATGGATGCAAAAATTTTATTCCCAAAGTTGTCTTTTATAAAACACATCTCCTGCTGGTACATGGGGTAGCGGAAAATTCTGCTGGAAGTCAAAACATAATAATTCCGTGGTCTCATCTTCTTTACTGAGAATCGTAACTTCTTTTAATTTCTTGTAAAACATTTCGAATTTACGAACATGGAGATCTTTTTCAGTCTGAAGTGCTTTCTTATTTTCGAGTTCTAACTCGGCAAGTATAAGATTTTGTAACCTGTCACAAGTTTGACATGTGTCAGACCTTGGAGTCCCAAAACTAATGTTATGGTTTAATACAAAACTACGATTGTAAAAGTCGTAGGTAACTTTTGGATGAGCTTCTTCCCCTTTTGTAGTGCCTGGAAAACTTCATTTTCATACTTCTCTAAATACAGCATGCGCATCTTCGAAATATTTAATTCGGCGGGCAAAAAAAAACTTGCGATCATTTTTTCCCTGCTATAATGAGAACTCCTTTTTGGGAAGCTGTTTATATGATTTTCTATGTTTTGTTAATATTTTCTCTGGCATCTTATTAGGGCGATTATTGGGCTTTCCTCTCATATCAGGTGGCGCGGATATTTCAGTTTTCAGTGAAGAGGCCAGACGATCAACACGATGCTTAGTTACGCCATGAATACCATAAAAGGCCTTTTTGCAAACTTGATGTTTAGTTAGTCCAAAACGACAATAATAAATTTTGCGCCCAATGGTATTTTCATACTCTTGTATTCGTATTGACAAAAACTAACAAGATTGATAAAAATAAAATACCGAGCTAGATAACATACCTTGTACGAAAATGAAACCTATTTTCCGTTTCTTTGCCCTGTTGTTGGTCGCTTTCTCCCAACTGGTTTTAAAGAAATCAATCCACCCAAATATAGGTCTTGCTTCTCTTTGTTTCCTAATTCGTTAAAAGACGAGAGAATAGACGTCCTTTGTGCCTCATTTATTTTGTCAAAACATTTGAGCCGACAAGTACAAGGCGCTCCCACTGTTCTTTTTGGTACAACCTGTTTCACAGAATTTACATGCTTTTCTCCACAGGCTTTTAACTTTTTTCTCACATTTCTTTGCCATCCCATTTCGTTTCTTACTCGTTTTTACCTCTTTTTTCTCTCAGTGTCGACCCATCAAAACTTCTGCGAACGCGCTTCTTTTTTGTTTTAGTAGACCTTTCATCCAAAGCTCTACTTGTACTGGGTTGGTCCAAATCACTCGGAACGTATCCACTTCCCGATTCTTGAAAAGGATCGCTCTTAGTTTCCGACATATTAACGCCTTATTTTTGTCTATGTAATAACGTGTTGTACGAAACAAAATCTCAAACTGATCACGCGATGCGCCGAGGCGATGCAATAACGGCACCTTAACCCCGCTCCGACATCTCCCACTACACGTCTACATTTCGGTGCTAAAATCGGGTAACTCCTGGAGTTGCCCGACTTTTGCACCATATTGGCTTATCAGATAAATCCTTTTCCTTGGTAACTCAATGAAAAATCATGGGAATTGCCTGATTCTTGCACCAGAAGTGCGCAACATCAAATTCTATATGTTAAATACCATAACTCAATTTCGGTACAAAATGGAGTTGCCCGGTTCTTGCACCGAGGTCTTCAATTATCATTGATTTCTTCAATAATTTGGTGTGTGGTTTGGACAGGAACCTAGATACAGATTGTTTTCCAATGACAGGAGGGATATGATGCAATCCTTTTTCTCGTTAGGGAGAAGATAATTTTGTTGGCAAAGGAATGTTGATTTAAGATCTATGCACTCTTCATCTTGATATTGATCGTTGCTCACGATAAGGTAAGTAAATGGAGGGATGATTATAGTTTTGTTGCGGTTAGGAATAGCAAAAAGGTGATAGTAGTTAAATGAATTAAGAGTGAACCACCAACGGAAAATCTATAGAAAACTTTATCATCTTATTATCTGAATAAAATACTCTTGTTTCTACTACTTTATAATACTTAGGGCCGATCTTTTCACCTCTAAGTAAAGTTACATGTAGGTTTACTTGACAGATTAACGAATAATAGCCCTATAGTTTAATCAGCAAGTAATTACTTTCAACTTTACTCAGAGGTGCAAAGATTGGCTCTTAAAAATATCGTTTGGAGAAAATAATATTTGATCATTGTTATGTAAACTATAAAGTTTCTTAATTATATTTTTTAAGTTATCTGGCGTAATAATACTAGGATGCAAAGTTTTTAAACTAGCAAAACTAATCGAATTTTCTATACCAGTAAGAAAACTTAATAACGAATCTATAGGTTTAGTTTAATTTCATCTAAAATATCTGTAATAATTAAATAGTGACGATAAACAAATTGTGTACTGTTTAGAGCTCCTCTAATTTCTTCTATTTTATTTGAAATTGATATATTTTCATTTACTATTTGCATTGATTTTTTATTAAGTGATATATGGTTATTAATTTTTCTAATAATTTTATTTTGATTTTTTTTCTAATTCATAAATGCTAAAGTAAATTTCTTGAGCATCTTCTTGTTCTAAATTACCTGAAATGAATTTGACTAAAGAACCTAAAAGATTTAAAAGTCCTCTTTTCTGTTTTGTCACAGGAAAAATAGAAATAATTTTTTGTATAATTTTATAAGAGGGTTCTGACTTGTTAATTAATATCTTTTTTCTACGTTTATGCAAAAAACAAAACTTTATTGAACTATATTTAGTGAAAAAACTGGTTCTTTATTGCACTAGTGCAATAAAAATTTTATTGCACTCATCTGTCATTTTACTAAGGCGTTTTATGATCATGACAAACATAAATATTCAAATCAATGCCAAATATTTAGTCCATTTTCATTTTCTGTGTTACGATTTAAAAACAATTGCATATTTTATATTATTTTCAATCATTTAATAAGTAAATTAACAAAAAAATGTCATTACAAATTATGAACACAAACGTAAATAAATGCCTCAAACAAAGGTACACGATCACGGCTACTATGATTTGGATAATACAACTGCAGTTCTATAAAACATTCTTTGGTTTTTGCATGAACCTAGAAAAAATATTGTATGCAACTCGTGCAAAAAGTGTTTATTGCACTCGACGTGTTGTCAAACTCGGCCGGACGGCCTCGTTGGACAATTTCACGTCGCGTGCAATAAACACTTACTTTTTGCACTTGTTGCATAAATAACTATTAAGTTACTGATTTGAATTTTTTTTGGTCATTGTCAGAGGAAGAATCATCATCCTACAAAATAACATCTGTTAGTTTTCTTGGAGGTTTGAACAAAAGTTTATGGTAAGTAGTTTGAGGGATAGTTACTGTAAGATTTTGGCTATGAATTGTATGTTCTGGTTTATAAGGGGTTTAGTTTTTGATTGTGTCAGTTTGTTTTTTGTAACCAATTGTACACGGTTAAATATCGGGGGACTGAAACGTTTTTCGTTAAGTTTTTCAATGATTTTGTTTTGTTTTCAAATTGGATTTTGTTTTGATTTTTATATTAATTTTTCAATGTTCCTTTTGGTTCGTTAAGTTAATAATTAATAAGTTGTGTGTTGTCGTCAATTTCAATTCGATTTTTGAGTTCAATAATATCGATAGGTTTTATTTTAGTTGCTGAATGAATACTGTTATTATAACTAAGTACTGAATAGGCAATTTTTTCGAAAGGGGTTAATTTTGGTTTTTTTTATTGATAGTGTTGAATAGAAACGTTCTGCAGTTGCATTACTGTTAGGAATAAAAGGGTAAATGTAATGCCAATTTATGTTATATTTATAACTTAGTAAATTCTTTTAGAAGATTTTGGATCAATTCGGTACCATTATCGGAAGCTATATTCTTGGGAATTTTATAACAGGAGATGCATTTTAATAGGGCTTGAGCTTGAAGAGCAGAAAGAGTGGGAACTATGTATATTTGGCCATATCTTGAATAACTAGCTCAAATTGTCAAAGTAATTGAATTTTTAAATTTAAATACGTCTATGTGAATTATTTAAAAAATGTTTTTCTAGGTATGAGTAAACTGTAATTTAATTAAAGGAGGGCGTCTTTCATATTTAGCTTGCTGGCAGACATCGCAGTTATTTATAAAAAATTTAACATCTTTGCTTAAATTATGCCAATAATATTTATTTCTTAATTCTTGTATAGTTACGTTTATGCCTCTACGATTAGTAAGACCTACATGAAGGGTTTTAATTAAATTTTGTTGTCTGCTTTCATTAATGGCATCAAATAAAAGTCTATTTGATTTTAGTAATTTAAAAGCTTAATTCTTAAAAATTTATGGAATAAAATTACACATTTTTATAAAGGTTTTTATTTTCATTATTTTGAAATTAAAAGACCTATTGTTTCTTTGGAACGCCAAATTCTTTAAGATACGTTATAATTTGTGGTTTAAATGATTCATTAGTTACATAAAGTTGATATCTAGTTTTAAGATTCTGGTTAAAAAGTTTGTTTATTTCTTGTCTAGGATGTCTATCTACTTTAATAATCATGATTTGATTGAGGTAATTATTCAGGGGTTTGTCAGTAATATGAATTCCTAAAATGTGATCTTCTAAATTTGTTTGTACTGTACATAATTGTTCAGATGAAGTTTTTTTAAAAAGAGAATGTTTTCAGTCTAATTCAACGCCAAAATTATTTTAGAGTATCGTAGTCAATAAGAACATCAAAAAAATTATGAAAGTTTATTATACAATTTTTTTTTATTTTATTAGAGTTGAACTCTGCAAAATTTTAGCACAGTAATCTCTTGTTGTAGTTTGAAACAAAGAGCGAATAGCAAAAAGTTATTTTACAATATTTTCGGAAAAATAATTTCTGTAATTTCAGTATTAATAAAGGATCTGGTAGCTGCTGTATCAATTAAAAGTTTTGGAGGGTAAATTAGAAATTTTAATGTATGGAAGATCGGTTCTAGCATAAATTTAATTTAATTCTATGTGGAGTTGTTTTGTGGGGCTGTTTTCGTAAAATTTTCGGGTGAGGTTTCGAAGTTATCTGTAGTCGTCGTATTATTTATAGCATTGTTATTTTCCTGATTAGGGTAGTTATTGTAAGTAAGATAATTAGGATTTTAAAACTAAACATTTTGATTATTATAATCTGTATCATAATAATTGTCGTCAAAATAGTCTTGTGTAAATTGTGGTTGGTCGGCCTAAAAATTTTGATAATTTTTATAATTTTATTGAGGTCGACTAAAGTAATTATATAAGATTCCGCTCATAGGGGCTGGCCTGATAATTTTAGTGATTCGGTCTTCTATGGTTACTTTGTGAAATACCACGCATTAGAGCTTCTTTTACAGTTTTTTAATCTTTACGTGTGCAAATACCACAGATTAAACACAACAGATGCGAAACCCGGCAAAAGATCAAAGGATTTTGATTTCTATGACCTTGAACTTTAAATGGGTATGGGAGCGTTCAAGTATTACGTTACAAATTTGGTGGGGAGGGGGGGTTTTGTAAAACGTTACGATGCGTTACAGGGGCGGGAGGGGGGAGTTGAACTTCCCGTTACGTAACATTATTATTTTTTAACCCTTCAGAAAAGTCGCGTATTTTAGCGACTTTCCGGTACTTTACGCCACATAATTGTGATTTTTAGGTAAAAATAGTCACTTGGTGGTTACGTAACGTTTTACTAGGGGGGGGGGTACAGAAAAACGTTGCGGCGCGTTACATGGGTGGGAGGTGGGGTTAAAAATCTCCAAAAATTGCGTTACATAATACTTGAACGCTCCCTATGGCATAGGTGTTGCCAATTTTAATTATTTTTAATCATTCTTACTAAAATAACTTTCTTCTGAAGATGTGTTTTGGATGCCAGGGTTGGTTTAGGTAATTATTTGTTTAATGTATAGTAGCAGCACTTGTATGACTACGTTAGAAAAGTTGTCGATATGAGTTTAATTTTAAAACATTTTAAAAGAAAAAGAATACGATTTGTATTAATATTTTCAAAATTTTAGTATAGGTAAAAAGTTTTAACAAGCAACTAATTATAATGTACTGGTTAAAAAAGGTTTTAAAAATTTGTTAAGCGGTCTTAGCCATCAAATCCAGTTCATAGGCCTATATTTTCCCTTTAATGTGTAGAAATAAATATATTGGTAATTAATGGCCTATTGATGGGAAGTTAACAGGAAATTGCAGGCCTTTTACCATATTAATACTGACTGCTGAATAAAAGGCCATGTGTCAGGCATAATGACTTATCTATAGAAGAAGACTAGACACAAATAAACAATGCTT